TTTAATGTTGATGAGCTCATATTTAGAAAATTAAAGTGAGTACACCTCTAATTCCAAAGTGTTTCATAATTATGATGTCTTGAATGTAATGTGTGAACACTAGATTAAATATTTGAGTCACATTAAGGATCAAATTGTCCCTAGTGTGAATAGTGACTAAATGATTTGAAAGGCACACTACAGTATAAGACTTTAAGAAAGTAATAAGACATTAGTGCGTACGTGTTGGGCTTAATGGAAGACCAATGTACCCTAGAGTTGGTGAAATGACTAAAATTCTCTTGGTCAAAACATGTGATAAGCAAAACCTAGAGTATGCGTAAAAGGTTGTTAGAACACTAATAATTAATTCACTACTCTTTTCATAACTTAATATTTTAATATATTTGAGAGTGTTAAACTATTAAAATACAATTAGACTGCTGAAATTGCTAATTTTCCTTAGATATCTAATTGAATGAAATAATTTGTGTTGGTAAAAAGAATAAGTGTCTTGAGTGTGGAAAAATGCAAATACACTTATGATAAAGAAAATAGGAAATAACTATAAATTCTATAAGTATAAGAAATGACCAAAATAATTTTGGACCAAATGATCAAATTACCCTTGAGTTTAATTGATTAATTGTGTAAAATTACGAATACCTTAAGGTTAAGAGATTAAATTATTAATAATGTAATAAGAAGAATAAAAAATAGGCAATATAAAAGATAATCATATATATTAAATAAATTAAAATAATCAATAAAATATGGTAATTCGTAATATTTACAAAATCCCGAATTAACACATATGAAATTTCTGCATGTGTTGTCTTCACTAAAAACAGGCGTATCTTTAGTTTCCGTCATCGAATTGACGCGGTTCAAGAATCGTTGAAAAACTAAGAGATAGTCGATCATATCTCCAGAAGACATATTGACCAAATAACACCCGATTCTCATTCAAAAGTTGAAACAATTTTGATGTTGTTCTGATCTTCCTTTCCAAAGCTTGGTTTTGTGGATCAATTGGAAGAGATAGTCCATTTTCTTTTGGTATGAGTCTTCTGGTGTATTATCATATTCCTAAAATGAATTATGTTGGTAATGTTTAGACACTATCCCATATTGAGTGAGAAATACCATTTGCAAGGGTATTTATAGTGTTCATTTCCCTCTCTTGTTGAGATAGAAAATAAGGGATTATCTCATGCGCTGCTGCTGTCGCCATCTATTCATCTCGGCGATTTTGTCCCTAAACCTAGCCTATAAATAGAGAATCATTTTCAGCTTCTCACATCATCCAACAACTCGAAAATCATCTCAAATCCTCTCTAAAGCTTCCTAAGTTTTCTATAAATTTTTCGGTGCTACAGAAGAACAGTACCACCACAGTCTACTCCGGTTTTGGGTGTCCAAATTCTTAGAGCTCCGGTTTTGGGTGTCCGAATTCTTGGAGCGGCTGTATTAACCTCTGGGGACAATCCGCCTAACGCAGTGAATATACATATTGAGACAAATTTGTTTATAAGGCAATAGTTTCACCATGACACGGTTTTAGTTTCATTTAGTGATTTTATTTTTAATTTGTTATGTCAGTGCTAACGGTGTGCTTTTGCAGTATTATATATATCCGACAAATTATTTACTCAAAGATAATTTCATGGAATATGAACTTATTTAGATTACCGATTACATAAATTATTTTTGCATTACCATCTTATAATCTAACTTATAATTAGTTAGACGGTAAGATAATCATTAAGTTGATATTTACTTTCACTTATTGTTTTATATGTAATTCTAAGTTCTAAAATAATATACGCATCATATAGATAAATAATATAAAAATATTTAAATGAATCAGATCAAATAAATTACAATAATTATATGAAATTGTTACACTACATGCACAAAATTCCAACAATCAGAGGCATTTAACTATTGGTCACATGCAGCCATACCTCCTCCCAATAATGATATAGCCATATAGGAGAGGATTTGCCTAGATGGAAGGGGATGAAACGAGTGCTTGCTCCGTCAAGTCGGTTTATATTACCAGTCAGCAGGAAAACTGGAATAGCTGTAACAATGCTTAGAACGTTGCGTGGAAGTACGATGGCCCCAAAGAATCAAGCATTTCATTTGGCTTGCACTTCATGAGAGACTTATGACCAACGTTGCGGGCGAGGCGAGGGATCACCATGGATAACCACTGTCCGGTTTGTAATAGTGGAGAGGAGACCATCCCCACACCCTCCGAGACTGCATGTCGGTTCGATCGATTTGAGAATCACATATCCCTAACCAGGCTAAGATAAGTTTCTTCTCCAAAATTCTCTTAGAATGATTCTCGTCTAATCTTTCTAAAAACGTAGGCTGGGATCATGAGGAATTTCCCTGGAGACATCTTTTTGACATTCTCACTTGACGTTTTGGAAGCAATGCAACAATATAGTCTTCAGTGGACAATTTGGTCAGCGTCGGAGATGATTCGCTCGGCGTGGATTTGGGCCAATCAGTGAAAATGAACCCGTCACACAACTATACCAGCCCGTCGGGAACAAGGATGGATACCGCCTCCTATTGAATTTGGTGAAGATCAATACCAATGGAGCGGTGGTCATAGCTCGTCGAAAGCAGCCGGTGGAGGAGTAATTCGAGACGAAGATTGGCAAGTGGTTAGCTGGTTATCACAAGAATTAGTCGGTGCCGTTTTTCAGGCAGAACTTTGGACGATCTTCGACGACACTATAGCTTGGAATAAAGACTATCGTGATGTAGTGGAGATGATAATAGCGTAGTAGTGAATTGTCTTAACTCTCTGAATCAGGCCACCGATGATGCCATCACCCAAAGGATTCGAAAGTGTATAGACCAGAAATGGAGGGTGCGTTTTGTCTATATTAATCTCGAGGCTAACTAGCTTGCCGATGCCCTAGCTCATATTGGAGATGTTGACCAGATGGGGTTGTCTATGTTCCAAAGCCCCCCAAGTGATGTCCTGCAACTTACAATGCAGAGATTATGAGTATATCCTTAAGTTTAACCCTAGTACCCGAGTGGCTCCTTGTGTAACCAAAAAAAAACTATTGGAAGCCTGTGATATACTATAATATTAAAAGCTATTATAATGTTACGTATCGTTGAGAACGTATACCTGTCACCAGTATTAAAGGCATAGATTGTCCCCGTTAATTATTGTAATTACAATTAACTCGAACCAAACTCAGTCAAAGTCATGAAGTTTAAACGTCACATTTTGTGATAAAATACCCCCAAAATGGCACTTTGTTTCACTAAAATAATGCCCCAACCTCATATTGTGAAAAAAAACATTTCTATTCAGACAGTCTGTTTGTTCCCCTCAAGATGCATAAATAAATGGAACTTAATGGGAAGAAGCATTTTCTTTATGGGACCATTAGCATAGTCCTACAGTAATACCAAAATGCAGCTCAGATGAACAACATTTACAATTAGGCATTTATTATGAAACCTTTTGTCGTTTTCGAAAACAACAATCGTACAAAAGCTCCATCATTCTTATGACTCTTTACTAACAATTTCTTCTCTTGTTTTCAAATAAAAAATAATTTGCCTAATAAAATCCGTACTTTACATATTTCTTCTGCATCAGACCTACTAATTCCAATTAATCTCCATTATTGTTATTTAGTTAATATTCTTAAAGTTAAACTCATTAATTCGCTTTATTGTTTATTTACTTAATATTCTTAAAGTTAAACTCATTAATTCGCTTTAGTAGTAAAAAAGAATATTAATTTTTTTGAAAGATTTTTAAGTTTTGAACAGTTAGATTTGTACATTGTTAATCGATTAATTTTTTTAAGTTTTGAACAGTAAAAAGAATATTAATTCGCTTTAAGGACAAAGACTTTTGGAATGTTGACATCCGTTCATCGTAAAGTTAAGGTTTAAGGAAACTCCTAAAATTAAGACAGAAAGCTCGTCCTGTTCTGGAAGCTGGAAATACAACAATTACAGCAATTTGGGATGCCATTAGAGTCAAAAAAGCTATTGTTCCTTGGCAGAAAATTGTCTGGTTACCTATGCACATTCCTAAGCATAGTTTAATCTCTTGGATGGCTTTGCTTGATAGGCTTCCTACAAGAGAAAGACTAAACCGTATGAGACTAATCACTGCCTGCAAATGTATTTTCTGTGATGAGCCTTTAGAAACTAGGGACCATATTTTTCTGCTCTGTCCTATGGCTAATTCAATCTGGAAAAATGTTTTTTTCTCTCTCGGACTTCACTTCTTCCCTTGCCCGTGGGACGCTTTTGTGCAAGGGCTTCCAATGCTCGAAAAGGCAAATCAATGCTTACTCTTATTCTGAAGTTATCTTTTAATGCTACTATTTATTATGGGATGAAAGAAAACAAGCGAATGTTCCAAGGTATATCCAAGAATGTTCAAGAATTATTCCATACAATCAGATATAATTGGACTGCACTTAAGCAATAGGAAATTCAATTGTAATGACAATGTTAATATTACTCTTTCTAGGAATTGGAATATAGGGTGATCTTTGTTTTTGTGTTGGATGATCACTGTTTTTTTTGCTCCGTTTCTTTGTATCTTAATATTGTAATGGTTGATTTTGGGTAATAAAAAATTTTAATTATCCAAAAAAATAAAAAATATATTCTAAAAATAATTTTTTTTATTAATGTGATGATTATAATGTAATATCTATCTTAATTTTTTTAATCATTTACAATACACTCACATCTTAATACAATTGTTCAAATTTAAAACTTTAGAAAAAATAATATATCATTTAATTAATTTAACCACTTAATTGCGTTGTTTTCATTATAGTTACGGACATAATATATATTATTATTTTGATTATGTGTATTATAATCGTATAACAACACCACCATTATATAACTGACGTTATTATAGTAACATACGACTATTTAAATCCAGTGAATATATGCTCATTTTTAGAGGTGAATTTAGAAGGGAACGAAGATGAAAAATGGTTTAAAAGAAAAGCTCTTTTGGCCTCATTCCAGGAACAAAGCTGCAACACATAGCATTGTCGTTACACAAAATTAGCCAAGCCTAAACCAAAATACAATCAAAATTAACCCAAGTAATTCTCAACAACAACAACAACAAAAAACCCTTTTTTTTCATTCATGGCAGCCATTGGTTTCGTCCATCTCAATAAGCTTTGCGATGATGGCGAGAACCTGAAGGAGAGGAAGGAGAGGAAGGAGTTGAACGTTTCATTTTCCTGGAAGCCAAACAACAATTTTCTTTATTCACAGTTTCTTCTTCATCCATGAAAATTTGCCTGCACCTGCACTCCACGCTGCAAAAACCCCTATCCCCTCTACCCAAAAAAAAAAACCCACATCAGTCATATAAAACTGGAAAAAAAACTGGGTTTTTTTAAAAAAAGAAACTTACTTGTACATGTAGATGTCTTTTCCAGGTAAAAGCTTTTGTTTGCAAAGAAAACAATGTTCAAGGAAAGAAGGAAGTGATGAAGATGGAGGAGAAGAAGAAGAAACATGGTTGTTTTGCTAATGACTTGTGGGGGATTTCTTACTGATAATATTACAACTCTTTTGATTCTCAAGAACAACACTCAGTCCCCACCATTTTTTCATTATTTTCTTTGGGAGAGAAGAAGGGTTTTGTTTGGTTGATGAGAAAATTACAAAATGTGAGAGAAAATATTTGTTTGCTAATGACTTGTGGGATTTCTTACTGATAATATTACAACTCTTTTGATTCTCAAGAACAACACTCAGTCCCACCATTTTTTCATTATTTTCTTTGGGAGAGAAGAAGGGTTTTGTTTGGTTGATGAGAAAAATTACAAAATGTGAGAGAAAATATGGATGAAAAGCTGGAGATTTAAAGAGATAGAGGGTGTTGGCAGAGCTAATAAGAATAGCAGCAGTAAGAAAAGTGTACTGCCTTTTTCTCTTCAACTGCCACGTATCATTTCTTCTTCTTCTTCTTTTCATGCTATGTTTGTTTTTTTGTTTGTGATTTTTTATTAAATTTAATTATAAATTAGTGTTTAAATTATATTTTTTTATTATAGATGTTAATATCTACATGAGCTTTCGCTTCCGTTACTTTTTCAATCCAAACTTGTAAGTTTGTTTAACTACTGCTAGATTGTTTCTATTGTGATTAGACAATAACACATATTATTTAGTATTAATTTAAATATAATAATATATATATATATATATATATATATATATATATATATATATACATACTTTTTATAGTATAATATTTAAAGTAAATATATATTTAGTCATTCAATTATAGTTTTGGTTATATTTTGGTCCATTCAACTATTTTTTTAATCATATTTAACTTATATTTTGGTCACCCGCCATTAAAAATTAATGGTGATGGTGATGTTGATGTATCATTATAAGGTAATATCATTATCATTTGAAAAAAATTTAAAAATTATCACATCAACAATATGTTTTTTTATAACGATTGTTCAGAATGGAACTAAACGTAGTTCTGAGATCAAAACAGAATCAAGTAAATAATAAAATATATTTATAATTTTATTTTTTAAGAAGATGTTTTGGGGACAAATTATTTGATTCAGATTTGATAAAAAAATAAACAAAATGTATGAAGAATTAGAGGTGGGTATCGATCAACTTGAATTGAATACAAACTATAAAATTTGAATGGGTAACGTTTTATTATTGAAATTAGAGTGAATGTAGGATGACTGATCCACGCCCTTCCTTTGCTTTTGTGTTGGTACGTAGCCTTAATTAGGCTTTGGCAGCTAATTCAAAACCCAACACAAAGACGGTATGTACGAACCACTGCGTTTGCCTTCCTCCATCCTTCAATTTTTAGTAATATTTTGGAAATTTGGAATCCAATTCAATCCCAAGTTTTCCCCCTTACAATTCAATCCAAAGTATTTAGTATTTATTTCTGAACTACCACATGCTGTGATTTTATTATTTTTCGGAGTAGAACAAATTAAAAGAAAAGTGCACGTAAACAATGATTATATATGGGAGGATACACCTATACTATTACAAAATTAATATAGTTATTTATTATATATGTCAAATTTTAAACCGATATAAAATTTTGAGACATTCAGTCCACCTTGAAATCTGATTTTTTTTCTTTCTATTAGTTATATATCTTTCTGATTATATTTATCCTGAATTTTTAAACTCGCTCCATTAAAAAATTGTATTGTTAACCTCATGTGATACAATGATAAAGAAACTCCTAAAGAAATCAATTTCTAAGACACCGTGTTCTTGATCCTTAAACAATTCATTACACTCTTCAACTATAAAGAAAATTCTTGCACATTTATTCTTCAAGTTAATTTTGCGCCATTAGCAAGATAACATCACATTCATACTTTAGAAATTCTAAAGTATCCCCATCCTTGTCAAACCCTAAACCTATAAAAAAAAAAGCAACTCCTTTTTGTCATGATTCTTTGGCAATTAGGTAAGCAATTGTGAACTAGAAAACTAAAATAATTATAATAATCACACCTTAAACTTAATTTCACTTTCGAATGCTTATCAAATAATTGATTTACATTATCCAGGTTTTGCATGATTGATTGATGAGAAATGTAACTACACTACACGTCAAACACTTTTACTTTCTTGTATTGGTTTTGGATGGAATAATAATTATAATTAAGGGTTAAGGTCGGTTTTGTCTATGTAGTAGATCTAATTTATTATTTTTATCTTTATCTTATTCGTATTAATTTAGCCATCGAAGTTGCTCAATTGCATCGATGTTTAAAATGTTTACTATTGTTTAAGGTTTTAAGTTAGGGTTTATGGTTATAGTTTAGAGGTTACTAGATTATGATTTAGGGTTCTAAGATTTGAACATAGGGTTTAAAGTTAGTAGGATAATAAAATTAAACCACTTTAAAGACTAAATCTATGAAAAAAAATATGATAAGAACAAATAAATAAATTAAGTCTACTACAACGATAAAAGTGATTTTTAATCCTATAATTAATTATTACCATGTAAACTCCATCATGCATCTAAATAATTAATAAATATCATAATGATCCTAGATAGCTAGTTAGAACGAAACGCATTTTTCATTTTCGAATCATTAACTAAAATTTTATCCAAATAATGAGAGAGTTTATCAATTTCCCCTCTAATGAAAATATTAAAACAATTCATTCTTTCTTTCCTTTTATAAGTTTTATATCATTATTGTACCAAATGGAAATTTAATTTTTTTTACATCTAAATAGAATTTAACTTTTTGGTTTAACCACAGCTATTTGATCTTCCCCTATTTGAATCAAGTTTTACAAAGGTTAAATTTGGAGTGATCCTCTTAACTCAGTTTATTTCGTTCACAAATGCTATAATTCAAACTTTTGACCTTACTTAAGTGATATAATATCTCATCCCATTAGACCAACTAATAGTTAAAACTTAAAACTTAAAAAAACTAATTGTTAAAAACTTATTAAAATATTTATAATTGTTTCTTTTAATGATATTTGAAAATTCGAAGCTAGACTTATAAAGTTAAAGAAATAAGAGGGTTAGACTCCATAAATAACAACCTATAAAGGAAACATGAAAGAAAATTGATTTACCAAAAAAGGAAAAGATAAAGGAAGTGATGAAGATGGGCAGCATCAATTGTTTGCAATGGCAATATTAGCAGCATGCTGACGTGTCACTGTCCTACTAGTATTATTTAGAAGACTATGCTCCCTATGGCCTATGCTGCCATCACATCAATTTTTAATTGATTTTTGCAGTACAAAGAATTTTATAAGAAAGCCGGCGCCACTGCTGCTCTCTCTTTATTGATTCACAAGAAGATTTTTAAAAAAATATATATATATAATTTTTCTCTTAAATTGAAAGACATTATTTGGATAATTCAAAATATTTGTTAGATACATTGTTAAAAAAGTTAAAATAATAACCATTTGAATAAAATAAAAAAGATAAAATGTTTTTATCGGAATTAAATAAATGGACAATTTTAAATGATTTATATATATATAATATATAATTAAAAGTGAATCATTATAACTAACTATAGGTAAATTAATATACAATACAAAATAATTTTTCTAAAAAATAAAACATGAAATAAAATAAAAATAATATAAGCACGTCATAACTATGCATATATGTTAAAACATACACATATGAAAATTACATTAATTTAAAAATAAATATTTAAACTTTAAACAAACAAAAAAAATTTCCTTCATTTTTTCTTTCACATTTTTCATTTCATTTTCAAAATTAACATTAAACTTTAAAACATGAAATAATATGAAACCAAACACAAATATTACTTTTATATCATTTTTATTTCTTTTCCTTTTTTTGTCAAAAAAAAAAAGAATAAATACGAACTTATTACTTTTAATTCTAGAATTTATTGAATGGTATGCCATTATCCAGCAAAATGAAAAAGTTTGATGAAATATAGTTCGGATGATATGAAAATAATTTTTATGATAAATGTGTTAAACTTAAATAAAAAGATAATTATTTATTTTAAATTGATCAAATAATTATTTTCTACGTCGGACTTCTTGAGAAAGACTCGTTATAATTTTTTCGTACAAAGATTATTATTTTCAATTTGAGCAATGCATCTATAGGTTTAGGTCTAAACATTCGTCCATATGTTAATTAACAATTCATATTTGATCCATTTTCATTGTTTTAAATGATCTATATAAAAGTTGTCTATCAATTTAAGAGGAAATTTTTAATGATTTATATACTTTTTTGTTTATTTTTAAATGATGTATATAACATTTATACTTAAACTTAAACAACTACAATAAATAAATAAATTATAAAAATAGTCTATATAAGTTTGCTTTGAGATATTTTTCAATGAATTAAACACTAAATTCACATTTAGGAGATAAAATTAAGCAAATTAGAAATTTTAGGTCTAACTGACGCTAAATATGACATTCGACAGTGGCCAAAACTAGACAAAACCAAAACAAATATGACCAACCATATAGTTTATCCAAAACTGAAAGGCTTGTATTCCTTCCAACAATATTCGTTTTCTTTGTTTTGATACTTACACTATTTTTGTTCATTTTGATATTCAAATTATTGCTTCACACATTATTTATCCTAAAATTTAGAAATTCTTTCAAATAAATAAAGTTGTTGACTTTTTCAATTAATAAAAACACGACAAGAATCCCATTAAAGAATGCAAAGATTGAAGTTTTCCGCTAATGCCTGTTTTTTTCCTCAGCAATAGAGTCTATATTCATAAATTTATGAAACACGATTATAGTAAAATGTATCGTTAAAAACCTCCTTAAACTTAGATAGAGAAAAAGTGTGAAAAAGTTTTTCACTAATATCTTTTTTTCTCTCAGCAAATACAGTCTAATTCATAACTTTTTCCGGTAATGTCTTAATCATGATGCACTCCAACAAATCTAGTAAACCATTTGCACTTTTCCAATTGGATATTTGGGAGTCCGTCCAGTAAGGATGGTTGATAAAGTTTGTGCGCCACCATTACAAAGGGTAGCAGCTATAATTAAAAGCTGGGTGGAGTTGGCTGAATGTTTGCAGCTGAGCTTGGTGTTCGGTGCTGATGTGTAGTGTTGCTGTGATTCGTATGGGGGTGTCAAGAGGTCGTCTGATGTCCACGTGTTTGTTCGTAGTAACTTAGGTTTTCTTTAGTTTATTAGTAATCCGGTCTTTACTTTTAATTGTCTGTACGCTTAGTCCCCTTGTCAAA